ATTATCCATGTTGCTACTCACTGAACTATCAGCTGACTTAGTTGTTTATCATTTCCAGGTGTTAGAAGGACTTAGAGTGGACTTGTGGCATAGTGGGGACTCAAGCATGTGGGTTTTGATATAGATTATAAAAGTAATTATAATTTATTTTAATTTAAAAATTTATATTAAATTATTTAATACAATTTTTACTCATAATTTTTTTAAAAAATAATAACTTCAATAAATTTAGAAAAAATTAATTATTTAAAAACATTTAACTAACAATACCCGCACCAAACAATACCATTATTTCACGAACAGGCAGCCACGCATTTGCAACCTCTGGATCCAACCTAACAATGGCGATGGCCGGTTTACAGCGACTCTCGTCCCAAATCTCCCGAAACCGATCATTCTCTCTCTACTCCAAATCACTAATCACTAGATCCTCCGCTTCATCTTCATCCTCCTTAACACCATCGTCCAAGAAAGTCTCCGATCGAGTCGTGAAGCTCTTCGCAATCGATCTCGACGGCAAGAAACGCGAGATCGTCGGACTCTCAGGGCAAACCCTTCTCAAAACCCTAGCTAACAACGGCCTGATCGATCCGGCCTCGCACCGGCTCGAGGAGATCGATGCTTGCTCAGCGGAGTGCGAGGTTAACATCGCTCAGGAGTGGCTCTTGAAGCTCCCTCCGGCGACTTACGACGAGGAATACGTTCTCCGGAGGAATTCTAGGGCTAGGGTTTTGAACAAGCACTCCAGGCTTGGATGCCAAGTGGTCCTTGCTCCGGAGCTTCAAGGGATGGTTGTGGCCGTGCCTGAGCCGAAGCCCTGGGACATTCCCTAAAAAGAGGACCTCAATTTGATTACTGTAAGGAATTTTTTTTTTTTTGAATCGAATAATGTGCATACTTTTGGTACTCAATGCTGCTGTTTTTATGGTGGTCAATTTGATGTGGCAATTTGCATACGATTGCCTTGAATTTCATATTTGGAATTGTTGCAAGTTACTATGTTGTGTGGGGTTTTTTATTTTCCATGATGAATTTTGTTCCTTCTTCTACATTGTGTTATTGTTAGCAATTCACTAATGCTCATGACAGAATATGAACAGATACATAACTTGATAACTATTGGTCCTTTTCAATAAGAAAATCCTTATCCATTTATATCAATTCATCAAGAAATTTTGGTACATTTTGAAAGAATAATGCTACAATGACCATCTTCATCTTGATTGCAGATCCTCTGTAGTGATTTTTTGTAGAGTGATTTTTTTGTATGATTGAGATTTTTTTAAAAGTGATTATCAATATAATTGTACCCTCAACATAGTACTATTGTACCCCCAACTTAGTACTATTATACCTTCAACTTTTATAGAATTAAATCTCAGTCATTCAAAAAATTACTCTAAAATAACTCTACGAAAAATTACTCTAGAGGATCCTGATTCATCTTGGTATGCCATATTGGGTTTACCATCTCACTTGTCATAATTGCATTGGTTGAATTGGGGGTGGGGGGGAAATGACTATGGCGTCTCAAGATGGGGTCCCCCGCCACTCATCACTAACTTTTATGCAGTGATGACATATCATATGCTAAATCCAGTGTAGCTTATGAAGACAGTCATTCTAGCACTACTCCATTTTAAGCCCTAGAACAGAAGTCATTGCACAGATTTCTAATTTAGTATCTTGTTCATGTATATTGCCCATTGGAAATTATCTTGCTTCATGTTCTCTACATTATGCAGAAAATAGGAAATATCACAAACACGTGACACGACACAGACACGCAAATTTTTGAAAGGACACGATACGTTGAGGACACGTGTATAATATATAATTTTATATATTTATTATCTGTCATATTTTTTAATATTTAATATTTATTATGTTATCAAATTTATCAACCTAAGTTATGCCATTTTCGTGAAAAAGAATTTAAAAAAATTGTCCTTAATGTGTCCTTAGCTTGTCATCAACATGTCCCAAGTGTCCTAGCATGTCCGACTCTCTAGCGTGTCTGACAAGTGTCCGGAGCATGTCCGTGTCCGGTGCAAGTCCGTGTCCGACATGTGTCTAGACACTTGTGTGTCACCTCCGCAGAGGTGTCCGTGCTTCAAAGATTTTGATGACCACTACTTCCTCTATAATATCCTGTATCTTTTACAAGTTCACATATCTAGCTTTGTATGGCTTTTCCATGAGCTTGCAATAGAATGCAACTTTCACAAAATTGTAGGGAAGAAGCTTTAGAAACTTTTTCTTCTCTTTTCCTTTTTGTTCTCTTTAAGTGCCTACTGTGCTATCTATCTAGACACCCATGCCCTCACTCCCAACATGTATTTGCATGTTGCACCCTGCCCAAAAGGGGAGGCAAGACAACAAGAGCTACTACTCAGGCTAAGGGTTGGTGGTTTATTGTACAATTGTCATTTCCTTGCGTCTGTGTTCAATTTGCATATGATCAGCTCAACCCTATTATTCAATCATGGTGTCAAGCTAGAATTAGGTCGTATTTTACATGGATTCTTTTAAATTTGTAAAATATCCGTGTCAGACATTTGGCACTTCACTTGACAATTGAGTTAGGTATGGGATATGTGTTTGGCATGCCTTTGTTGTACATGCACCCAACAAATATGTTTAATTAAAAGAGTTAACTATGAAACTATGCATAAAACTCTCATCTTATGATAAAAAAGCTCTATGGTATGAAATTTAGCTGTATTTTCATGTCCTTATGATAGTTAGATGGATATGACACTTGACACAAATTTGCACACCTGACATCCATTCTTGAGTCTATGTAACACAGGCTAGGTTTGTTGCTCACATGCCAAACTAAAATTCTCTTGAGAAAAGGATAGCTTGAAGTAAATAGTATGATTCATATTTGCACATTGATTTGGGTCTCTAGTTCAAAGTATGAATATTGATATTTGGCATGAGTAATTAAACCATTCAATTTCAATGAATTACAATACAAATGATAAAATTTTCTTGACTTTATTTCTTTTAAGATGTAAAGTTTGTAGGATTGCAAGATCCCTATTAATTGTGAATTGAATCATGAATCATTTTGTTAAAATAATTAATTGTGAATTGTAAAAATCACTTTATTTAATATAATATATAATTTGATACATGTTTATACATATAGAAATACACACAATGTTTAAAGTGAAATAAATATTAATATAATTAAATTGTAGGGTAAATTACAAGTACACCCCTTGAGGTTTATTAAAAATACAACTTGTTTGAGAAATTACATCCCACTTCTTGAGGTTTCCAATCACATAGCAATTGACCCACTTCGTTGATCAACTATTAAGTCAAACTAACAAAATGTTGACGTAAGCAACAATTTTTTTTAGAAATATCTATATTAGCATTTATGAAGTTAAACATTTTATTTTCTTTTTTCCTATCACACCTTCCTTTATTCTTGATTTTCTTTCAATTAGTAACACCACTTTGCCCAACCATCGCTCCATTCTTGATCAACACCACTGTCATTATTGTCTTCAAACATTTGGTGTGTCGCCAAAGAGGATTGGAGAATATTGTGGTGGTGTAGAGAGAAGGAATTGGTGATGGGTGGATGAAAATGAGGGTAGTATGATAATTTCGTTTTGGTATTAGAGGTATTTGGTCAGTTGAGAAGAGGGTATTTGTAATTTTCAGAACGTGAGAAAGAATTTGTATTCTTGACAAACCTCATGGGATGTATTTGTGATTTAGCCTACAATGTATGTATAGCAATATAACCAATTAATCTATCTTTTTTTTGATAGAGTTTAAAATCCGATATCATTTAATGCAAACAAAAACAAGAATCGAATCGCAATAAACCATAGTGAATCGCAAATTGAATTGCATGATGTACTCTATTTCTGATTAAACAACATGATTTGAATCATTTTAGTTGAAACTCTTATCGAATAGTATGAATCGAATCGTGAATTACATGAATCTAACAACCATGCCCGCACCCAACATCCATACTCAAGTTCATGTAAACATAGGTTTAGTTTTTTGCTCATGTCCGATGTTCCAAACTACTACTCTCTTGAGAAGGATAGCTTGAAATAAATAACATGATTCAGAATTGCACCTTGATTTGGATCTCTAGTTTCAAAAGTATGATTATTGATATTTGGCCATTCAATTTCAATGATAATGAGTACAAATAATGAAATTGTTGTGACTTTATTCCTTTAAGATGAAATTTTGCAGGATTGCAGAATCCCTATTAGGAGTCTGAGGTTTTGTCGCACAGTGTTATGACTTGAGAGTACTTAGTTTTAATGTTTAGGAAATTGGTTACTGCTGATGAAAAATTAGAAGATGGAGTATTGCTGATGGAGAATGAGATCACTATGGAAAAGGCAAATCAGATCTGAGAAGATCTGACGTGGTTCAAAGGTGAGTATAAGAAACAGTACTTGGGATTCTTTTGGAATTGTGGTGCAAATTGGATCTTTGTAATAATATAATGGAGAGAAATAGTGATTGTATTTTCCCAATAGCTGGATTAGATGTGGTAACACCGGTTTATGGGGATGTTTGGCATTTAAAGTTGTGAAAAGTTGAATAATAAATGAAAGCTTCTTCCCAATGGATAACTATTGTTAGAAATGGCTACTTTCGATTTCATTGTGAATCAATGTAATTAAAATATTTTATCTTCTGGGAGTTAATGTGCCTACTGTTAAGTAGTTAAGTATGTGAACTTGCATATCCAGTGAGTTTTTTACTTCTTTGTAATTGTTGGAGGATGCTGTTGGATCTTAATGAACGCAGTTAAGTTTCAGGAAGTAGACGGTTTTGATTAAATAGGACAACTGTTCATAGTGGAATTTTTCTTGTTTGCCCTATGTTCATTAAGCAACTTCTGTACTGAATATTTTGTGCATGCATAAAAAAAAAAAAGGTTTCATTTTTCCTTGCATTGTTTCATCATAGTTTTAATCCATAATTAAATTTATAGCTTCTCTCTTAGATGGTAGTCAGTGGTGGAGCAGTTCACTTGTACCAATTTTATTTCTCATATATTCTATGTTCTTCTCATAAGCCCTTCCCCTTTGATGTATATCATTTTTGTTGAAAAGAAAATTTTCCCAGATATTGTTTTTGGGCGTTTCATGAGTCTTACCTCTTGAGTTGTTAGACCCAAATTTCTAGCTTTTTTTATTATTCTTTTTCGTCAACTTGTATGAGTTTTTTGTTTGTTGTTTAGATGTAAAAGAATATTGAGTTTGCATTGATGAGAGATTGCTGGGTGAGCAAAAATGCACCGTCTCCCAAAACATTTCAATGTTTTGTGGCAATTTCTCCATTCACGGTACTGAATTGTAAATTTTAATATTTTAAATTCTGTATGTGCTTGTCTGTTAGATCTTTTTATTGCAATGATCCTATTGATGATCTTATCGGACACATGGTTGGATTACGTTTTCATCTTTGGACTGGGAACACTAGTTAGGTCACTTTTGAAATGTTTAGTCATCTGTTGGTGTTTGGAGTTTGTATCGGTGGTTTCAATTCCGGGATGTGAAATGAAATGGAATGACTCCTACTTCCTTACTAGTATAGGTAGTTGTACATTTTCTTGTTATTTTTGTTTATATATTTTTTGAGAACTACCAAAAGCATATATATTGCTGAATAGGAAAGTCATTTACATGCCTAGCAACTCATGGGCTGATTTAATTACAGATCAATGAACTTTAGATATAGCTAGAAAATTAAAAAAAACCTACTACAAAGTTTAATATCCGCGAACACTGTTGTAGCATTCCAATCTGGCTCGCACTTGCCCTGTAAAACATCAACCAAAACTTGGCAATCCGTGAATATAGACACACATGATAACCTGTGCCACCAAGCCCATTGTAAAGCATCCAAACATGCTCTTGCTTCTGATAATAATTATGAAGGCAAATGTAAACATATTGCTCTTTGATCAACCTTCTCCTGCCAGTCATTGTAGCACACCAATGCCATCCCAGCTTTGATTCCCTATGTCTTCCAAGATCCATCAATAGTGAAAGTCCATACCTGAAAATCTGCAGTGTTAGGAATTGAATTCACAAGTATACAACAGTTATCATCTTGTTCTATCAATTCATTCATGTTAGTATCATGCAAGACCAAACTAGCAGGTTATCTGTTTTCTGGACTGAGATGGATAGTGGGTGCTGGTAAAACAATTGATCCCTTTGAAGATCAATGGATCCCCATCGGTCTTGAACCCCTTAAGTGGAAAGGAATTATCCCTTTACTTCTCTTCGTTATCTTTATCTCATTTTATAAATGATACCAATCATCGCTGGTGCATGGATTTGCTAAGGTTGTTCTTCCCACCAGAGTGTATTTCGCATATTCAAGGTATTCATTTAGCTACAGAGACTAGAGGTGATAAACAAATATGGGGGGCATACTAGAACTGGGGAGTACACTGTTAAGTCAGGTTATGTGCTGGCCATGGAATGGGGCAATAACAGGCTTATTCCCATCCGCGCTGGAAATGACTATGGCGTCTCAAGATACCCCCTAATGTTGTGTTTGGTTAGGAGATTTGGAGAGAGATTTGGAAAGGGAAATGGAAAAGGTGGGTGAAATATGAATAAAACATGCTTACATTTCACCAGTTTCACACACTTTTTTCCTTTCCCTTTCCAAATCTCTCCCCAAATCCCCCAACCAAACACAGCGTAAATGGGCCAACTTTCTTTGGAAATGCCTTCATAATACCCTGCCAGTCAAGTGGAATATGAGGAAACGTGAGATAAATTTAGATCCATATTGCCATTGTTGTCTGAAGGAAAATAAAACTTTGGAACGAATCTTTTTCGAATGTCGAAATCCTCAAAGAATTTGGCGAGGGACTTCGTTGGGTCTGGACTGTAGTAAACCTATGAGTTTTGGTGATTGGTTAAATAATTGGATTGAGATGGTGAGGGATGAGGAGTAAATACCATTTGGGTAATCCGGAGGCAGAGGAACAGTGTTGTATTCCACAGCACAAAAAGTATAGAAACATTGTTGTAACAATGAAATAATGCCCCCCACTTCATCACCAGCTGTGGAAAGTTTCAACTGAATCTGCTCCAGCTTGAGACTCCTAGGCTGACCTTGATCCACATTGTCATTATCTATGGTTAAACTAATGGGATTAAAAGGTCTATTTGGTGCAGTTTATTGTAAGTTGAAAGTTGACAATTAAAAAGTAGAAGCAAAATGGCTCTAACTTTCAACTAATTAGATTTTTTAATTTGTTTAATTAATTTCAGCTTAATAAGTTGCAAGTAGAAAGTAAAAGTTGTACCAAATTTGAAAATAAAATACGATATAAGTAATTCATATAAACTGGTCCAAAAAAGCACCCAACTTATTATATAGAATCCTTGCATCTCATTAGCGGCAAGCTTTTAAGTTTTGTAACATAGCCAATGGCTCTCCAAACTAGGACTTTGGACGTACCAAACATATTGATGATAATCTCTAGTAGTAAGGTGCAGAATGAGCCTAATTGGTTCATTTTATGTTTTTTTTTTCTTCTTTTTTTTCTTCTCAATAATCAAGTTTTGTGATCTTTTTATTTCAAACTAGAACAATGATCTCATAACTAAAAAAAAATACCACTGCTACACCCTTGTAAGGGAGCAACTTCTTTCAAGACTTTATCCTTTCTGTATTTCTTCAAGACTCTATTTTGTGCACTCCACCAATTCACAACAAAGATCTGAACTATATTTATTTCATGAACCTTGCAAAGAAGAACATATATGCCAATTTTTTTTTTTTTTTTCACTTTGTCAAATATCGATAGGGATACTAACTAATTGTATTTTGTTTTATAAAATGAACGGTTTTAGTTTAAAGTTATATTTATCATTCATTTCATAAAATAAAACACGATTAATTAGTGTGTCTATCGATATTCAATCAAGTTATTTTTTGCGTATATATTCTTATTTTTTAGACTTACGAGATGAATTATTCGGATTATCATTACAGGGTCCATGAAGCCTACGAAGCGGAGTTTCGAGGAGGTATGGAGGGGATGGAGTTTTGAGGGGAGCTGCTCCCTTTGGAAATAAATTCTTGCATGGATATTATGTGTACCCTTTTTTCCCTATATTTAAATTGTGAAGGCTCAACTAACTCCAACCTTTTTTTTTTTTTTTTTTTGGGGATTTTTTTTTTTTTTTTTGCTCATAACCGACTCCAACCTTGAAATTGCATTTTTGTGACAAAATTATCGAACTTGGACTGCAACAAGAAAAACATGATGACACTCTACCAATGATTCCAACGAAATTAGTGGCCATCCTCTTATTTTCCCCATTGTTTTCTCCACGTTTCACTCTCCAAGAAATCTGTAAACTCGTCCCACCCTCCACCCATTTTGCCACTCCTCAACCCCCACACACCCATTGCCAAAGGTTCTCTATTTTTTTGCTCCCTTCCCACATTTCCATAACTTCTCTTTCAGTCTCTCAAATCCTCTGAACCATAACCAAAACTACTAAAATTATTCATTTTGTTTGTCCCATCTTTTTTCCCACTACCCAAACAAGGCTAGCATTCTCCTTTCTCCTCTAAACAAAGCCTATAAGCTTCCTCATTCTTCTTGGTTTTAGGGTTTAGCTCTATGAGAGATGGACCCTGGAGAGCTACGTCGAGTTTTTCAAATGTTTGATCGAAATGGGGATGGAAAGATAACGAAGAAGGAGCTTAGCGACTCATTAGAGAACTTAGGCATATTCATACCCGATAAAGAGCTCATCCAAATGATAGAGAAGATCGATGTAAATGGAGATGGATATGTTGATATTGACGAGTTTGGGGCGTTGTATCAGACGATAATGGACGAGAAGGACGAGGAGGAGGACATGAGGGAAGCTTTCAATGTGTTTGATCAAAATGGTGATGGGTTCATAACGGTGGAGGAGTTGAGGTCGGTGTTGCAGTCACTCGGGTTGAAGCAAGGAAAAACCCTAGAAGATTGCAAGACGATGATAAAGAAGGTGGATGTGGATGGGGATGGGATGGTCAATTACAAGGAGTTCAGACAGATGATGAAGGGTGGTGGTTTTGCTGCCTTGGGTTGAAGCTAAAAAAAGAAAAAGAAAAATAAAAAAGAAAGAAAGAAAATAAAAAACAATAAAAATGAGATTTTGGGAAAAAGAGAGGGGGATGAGGGAAATTTTTGTGGGAGAGACTTGTTGATTTTTATACTCTCGTCTCATTCTTTTATATGTTGCTTTTGATGATTTTAGTTTTGAGTCGAGTGTCTCTCTGATACTTAAGCTCGTGGTCCCATTATTGACCACATTTTTACGATTTGATTAGTACTTTTTGTGTATAGATGATTTATGAAAAAAGTTTGATTAATTTGATGATTGCAGTCACATAATTTTATCTCGTCTTTATTTTTTTATTTTTTTTATTTTTTAAAAAAAGATAGATGATATTTATATTTTTGAAAATAATTTTTTTATTTTTTTAAAAACAAATATGATGAATCATGTAATTAAAATTATCTAATTTATTTGACTATTTCATCGATGCTACACATAATCCACAAAATAAACAAAGAGAAGCAATCTCCTTTAGCGCTTTGGATTTTGTAATTTGGTCCAAATTATCATAAGATTTGTGAAAAATCGACTACACCCTCCCTCTAGTCCACACAAGACAAAAGAGAAAGAAATCTCCTTTGGCCCTTTAGATTTTGTAGTTTGGTCATTTCTCTAATTTCTTATGTGCTCATTCTTTTTGTTCATGTTTAGTATTTTTCCTTTTGTTTGTCTAAATTTGGGCATTCCTACCATAAATTCGAAACTTTTGGGACAATAACCCCAAACTCAAATCTTTTGAAGTCAGGAGAACAATAACAATTCGAAGGAATATATTACCGTTACCTGCTTGTCTATTTATTTACTATTCACTTATCTATCCAATGTAACTTATATGTCCACATATCTATCCACTTAATTTATCTATTTGTCCCTATCACCACCACCAATCGCCACTAACTACTAGCCACCTCTAGCGATTTTTCCAACAACTTTTCTTGGCAACTTTCTCAGCACCGGTGACTTTTACTAGCAACTATCAACTGATGGTAGTTCTAGGACAGTCCAAGGACAATGAGTAATGAAAAAAAAAAAAATTCAATACAATAATTTGCCTTTCTTACTAAACAATTTCATTAATTATGTCCTTACAACCATAATAAAACAATCTATAAACTTAGTACTATACACTCCGTAGAAATAGATTTCTCAATAATTTTTCCTATAAATTATTGAGTAGAAAGAATTATGAATTTTCTTTTAATGAGAATGTATTCTCATACAAAGATGAGTCCACACGCTCTTGAAAAGTATAGTTTTATCTGTGGTAAATTTTGAAATCTTAGAATTCATATTGTTAAATCAAATCAAACTGAACTAAGCTTCCGTTCAAATTGGGTGAAGTGGACTACATGAATTATTTTTTGTCACTCAAATCAAATAATTAAAAATATTTAACAAGTCTTATTTTTCCTGACAAATTGTCATTCAATCCTATTAACACTATTATCATAGAATTAGAAATATTATTTTTACTATTTGACAACTATATTATCCGTAAAGTGAATGATTGACTCATTCCATATTAGAAATAATCACTAAAATAATCTTTTGATAATTCGAATTCCTATTCCTCAATGATAGTCCATGATTAAGACAAACCCTATAAAATAGTTTCATTCATTGATATTTTTTTTTATAAAGCAAATCAATTATCACTTTTTTTATTATAAAAAAAAAAAAATCTGTAAGCCTCGAGTAAGGAAATACAAATATTATTAATATTCCTAATTTAAAAAAAAAAGTAGAGGAAATTACATGTTACAGTTGTTTTCAAAAGTTAATTATAAATTTAAAATAGTTTATGATTTTTCTTTTTAATATTTGTACAATTTACAACTAATTGGAAAATATTTTCTAAACATGTATTGAAGTGAAACTACAAAAAAAAGAGTAACTAATGACTTATCAAATGAGTTTAGAGTATGTTGTTATCACTCTATTATTGAGTTACTATGTTTGGCACAAGTTTTTTTTGGCTATTTTAGTCACAAAAATACAAAATAGATTAAAAAGTCAATACGATAAAATGTCACATTCAAACTATAATTATTTTATTTTTTTCTCATAAAAATCAAAAAAATCAAAAAGTCTATCACAAACGATACTTTTTAGTTTCAAGCTAAACGAGTCAAAAAGTCAAAAAATTATAAAATCAATCCAAATCTCAATCGAAGGTTATATTCATTAATAGAGTAGTTGTAAAGTATAATATTATTTGTTTAGTAAATTATAATTATCCATTTTTATTATATAAAGTACATACGGACGTGTTATTTATTTATTTATATTTTTTTTAAAAGAATATCCTTCCTATTTAGTTGTTAAATAATTTTTCTCATTTATCAAATTGTTCAAAATTGCTAATCAATTTTTTTTTTCTTCTAATGATTAAATTATCTAAAAAATTAAATATAAAATTATTAACGCATCACATATGCACTCATACTAATCACGAATAATGATAAATAGTCTATTGAATTATCAAATATCTATAAATTCCATTATACCAATCAAATCGATTGTAACAATTAGAAATCAACAAAATAAAAAGCAAAAAAGTAAGTAGACTTAGCCCTGGTTTGACTATCATTTTAGAACTAAAAAAGTATAAAATGATAAAATAAACTAAATAAACTAACAAGATAAAATATTACATCCAACTCATATCATTACACTTTTTTTCTCATAAAAGTAAAAAAAAATCAAAAAATCCAAACCAAACGAAGCTAAAAACATTCCAACATAAAAAAATTAACTATATTAACCAATGCCAAACAAAGTTGTAGACTAATTGAACGACTAATAAATTTGATAGAGATAATTGGACAAATTGACCATTTAGTCACAACATAGAAGCTTTTTTAATACCATTCTTTGATTTCAAACCAAGATTTATTTTTATCTATACTATTTTATTAATTAAATTAAATTAATATGTTATTTGAAATTTAATTCTTTTTTATTCGTATTTGTAAGAATAAATTTTATTTTTTTTAAAAAAAAGAAGACAAAAGCAAAACTCTCTTCACAGTCATTTTGCACCAGCCGGGAATCGAACCCGGGTCTGTACCGTGGCAGGGTACTATTCTACCACTAGACCACTGGTGCTTGCTGCTTCGTGTATTTAAAATATTATTATATGTTCTTTAAAAAAATTGATAATTGCTTAGAATTTACCCAGAATTTTAGTGTATAAAGTTATTGATAGGAAATTACACTTATCTCCATCGAGCTCTTAATTCAAATAACAGTTGAGTTTTTTACATTAGTCATATAAATAAATAAAAAAAATGATGTTTATCATCTATTTTATATTGGAACGTAAATTTATCTTTGTTTATTTTAGTGTTTACCCAATATATGCATTAATTTCAGTCACTTTAACCTTTCTAAAAAAGAGATTGATGTAATGAAGTCAAAAGCGTGAAACTAATTATATTTTTTCTAAACTTCATGGTAGGTACGTGTAATTTACCCTAAAAATTAAATATGTATTAAAATTAGAAAAAAGTTATGATAAATCCAAAGAGGAGCATACAGGACATTAATTTACCCTAAAAATTAAATATGTATTAAAATTAGAAAAAAGTTATGATAAATCCAAAGAGGAGCATACAGGACATTAAGGATAGGTCATAATTTTGGACACCAAAATGGTTATACATATATATACATATATATATATATATTTTTTTTTACTTATCGGTGGAAAAGACATTTGTTACATTTTTTCCCAATATACTTTTTTTTATTTGCAGTTTCTCTCCCTATTATCAAAGACAGCCGCCACTGGAAAAATGATTGAAAAATTTGTCAATATCGATCAACAGCAACGGTTGATAAATTAGTGAATATATAAACAAATAAGTATGTCATTATAGGTCTAGAAGAATAAAGTTTGAGACTATTATTCTATAAAATTCAAAATTTGACCTTTTAACCCAAGTGCCATTTAAATTTTTCATATTAACATTAATCCCTCACAAGCTGAAAGTGAGTGAAATATTTTAGATTATTATTATTATTTTATTTCAAATTTCAAAATTTTAAGTGCTTCTAGACTAAAGTTTCACAAATAATAATAATAAAAAATGGACCAAATTTGAAAGAAGGTCAACTGGAGACAAAAAAGACAATTTTCTTCGCATGTTTTAGCTTTTTTCATTGGACCCTTTAGAAAGGAAAAATGATAAGTCATTAGAATATTTATACAAAATTAATTTTTAAAATGATGTAACAAAAACAAACTTGCTGATTATGTTTATAATGATGGCTACAAGGACATTTCAACATAAAAGAGATGACAATATCATTTTCTAATTAATACGACTAATAAATTTTTGATAAAAAGTAAGGCAAGTGTTATAAAATTAAAACTTTAAAGAAATTCAATGTAATTATGTCAAACTTATAGGGTTTACTATAATTTCTCAAAATCTCGGAGGTCAATGTAAATTACCCTATAATTAATGAAAAAAAAGTTTATGGCAAATTTCACTTTACCCCTTGTAATTGAATGGTTCTATATACACCCCAAAAATTATGAGCACCCTATTTTTCTAATTTTTTTTTAATACAATTTTGTCCCTTGACTAAATGGTCAAAATGGTCAAAATCATAACCCAACCAACCACACTGCTTTGGCTACAACCCAAACTCCGACCATCCCTTTCCTAGCTTTGGCCATCCATTCTCAACCCCTCATGCCGCGCCTTATCCTTGTCATCTTTTGGCGCCACCACCAAACCTTCATTGTTACCGCTGCCATCATCGGCGATCTCTTCATCCTTATCTACAACTTCTTCTCCTCGCCCAACTTAATTTTAGGGTGCATTTAGAACCACCTCTTATAGTTTGGTTCATGTGCGAATTATCTCCTCATTTGAAAATTACCACATAATACCTTGTAGTTTGTGAACTGAAGTGTACCATTAGGCTCACTAATGATTTAATGAATAAAACTAAAATACCCTTGCATATGTGTGAATTACGGATATTGTCATCATTTATTTGAGAAGCAAAAATGCATTTTAAAGCCCTTATGCTATTCCATGTACAGTTTACCATCTTAAAATTTGAAAATGAGTGTATGACCCATTTGCATTTGACACATGTTTCACACTTACTGTTAAGTTGGATGAAATATTTAATGATACATTTCACTCCACAAATCATAAAGAGGTCATGTGGTTATTTCCAGATGAGAATGAGATAATCTACACATGAACAAAAACATATGGATAAAGTGAAATTTACCCAAAAGTTTATAAAAATCACTGAAGATTAAGAACGGTTTTATGTGGACTGAAGGAATAAAACATCTATATGACTGTTGGCCTTTTTGGCTTTCGAAGGTTATTTTTGTAATTATGAGCGTGTCAGCAAGGATCAATCAGTCCTTACAGAATTTTGATTGCCAACCAATTATCAGACGATTGTGTTGTTGTT